CCTGATGACTGCTAGGGTATGGGGGGTTGTGTTGGATACTACTGCACGGCGTTAAGAGGGAGAGACCTAATTAAGACGTTGTTAGGGGTTCAAAGAAGGCCTTTCTGAGGAAATAACACATGCTTTAGTACCAAGTCAGACCACAAGTGTGTAGAAATCGATGTTTACAGAAATAACACAAGTGATGAAACTGTACAAGGTGCCAACTTATCCAAGAATGATTTAGGAGAGCTACAAAACTGGATCTCCAGAGAGTCAGTCAGTGCAGGCAGCATGTTCCTACTGTCACCATTTACTGGTCCCTTGTAGTTAATACACGCTGAGGGTTCTGGGAAAATTTTGGAACATAAAGTAATTCAAACCAGCAATTCCCCTTACACAGCGAGTCAGTCACACGGTATGAAGTGAAGAGAAAGGTCACTTCTCGTAATTACAGCTTTCGAGTTTTAGAGGAATGGTGTAAGCCTTGGACAAGCTGATCTTAGCTTCAATGTGCAGAAAAATCACCTGACGAACTTGTTAAATATTTTGAGTCTAGGTCCTACTCCCAGGGATTCCAATTCAGTATTTACAGCGCAGCCCACGAATGTTTACCAGGCACCCCTAGAGATTCTGATGCAGGTGGTACAAAGGTAACACTCTGAAAACCCGCATTACACTAAAATCTCCCCACAGGAGGATGTTTTGCCCTGACGAAGAGGTTTTGTGCTCCAACTCACAGAGAGAGCACACATTACACAAGAGCCTCCCGGAAGTGTTTGTTTACGGGCTGACCCTGTGCCTAACCCTTGTTATCCCCCGGGCTTGGAAGCAGAAGTCTCAATAAACCGCATGGCCTGCTGCTACAGTTTCTGCCCCAGACAACTGAGCAGAGGTGACATCGAAATAAGACAGGAAGAGAGAGAAACAATGCTGACAGCTCTCTCCGGAGGCTGTGAAAGAAGCCCCTACAAGTGAGGCAGTTAGACCACTAAGAGGACCAGCACGAATGGCTGTAGCATGAAAGTACAGATGGAACACACCTGAGAGGAGAAGGATGGAACACAGCGCAGAAGAAAAGCAAATTCCTGTTTCTTAAGAATCTTCTATGTATCAGGGAGTATGCCACATACTTCACCTCATTTTTTGCCTCATAAAATCTCAGGTGGTCACATATTATTTTATATTACACTATATTATATTATATTATATTAAGAGATGATATTATATCATAGATGAAGAAACTAAAGCCTAGAGGGAAAGAAACTAATCCAAGGATATGGAGCTGGGAGGCCAGGTTTTGAACCCAGGTCTCTCAGCCACCAAAGTCCATAATCTTCCTGGATTTGGTGGGAGAGCTAAAAATAAGATGGACAGGAACAACGTGGCCATAAAGAAAGAGAGAGCCCTACTCCAAAAAGAATGCCACAGCAAGTAGAAAGGAACAATGAACAATGCTTGAACAATATCGGGACTTGAAATAGTGGCCTTTTTGTTAAAACGGCTGAGGTTTCACAAATTTTGAATGGGGAAAGACTTGTAAAGATAAAGGGGTAAAAAAGTTAAGATGCAATTTGATTGGTCGTGAGGGATTCAGAACGGCCATGTGACCCAAACACTTAGTGCAGCTACTGCCAGGTGACAGGATTCCAGGGGACTTTCCACACTCCACCCCCAATGTACCTATATTTCCTATGATGAACAAATATCTCTTCTGTAAAGAGATAAAATATATGGTGTGTTTTGTTGTTGATGATGTTTTATTTTACTTTGGGAGGACTGAGAAAACTGGCTGGCGGGGCAGAGGTTCTCTGGGAATGAAGTCAAAGAAAACAAGAGGACCGGGTGAAGTGACAGAAGACAGACAAGACACCTCGACAGAGGAAGTAAAACATACCCTAAACTGTGAGAGCCATCCCTCCCCTGCCCCTTCCTGAATAATTCAGTCCACAGCCATTAGGTAGGGCCAAGCAGCAGAGGATGTCTGAGCACAAGCTAGGTAAGGAGGAAAGAGGAGAGGTGCCCCAAACGGCACTGACAGCTACTGGTGACTCACTACATACAAGGACATTAATCAAATAAGTAAACATAAAGAGGATGATGAGAGACTAGTCTCTTATTGTCAAAGAAAGAAACTACAAATATGGAAAGGGAGAAAACTGGACTGAATCCCCTGGTACTAGAGTGGAATTAGAGATATCAGACTAAACTCATACATTTGAATATATACATAAATAAAAATAGAAATAAATGTAAGTATAGAAATATATTAAACATAAAGGAAGTGTGTGCGTATCCCCCCTCTGTGCTAAGATATCTAGAAGCAGTGACACCCCAAAAGTAATAATCACATCTAATGCCCAGATCTTGCTTTCTAAATACTATTCTCCACTAAAAGGAACCAGGGCTCCTGTGGAAGAAGCTGATTCCAGGGCTGGAGTAGGGAGAATACAAGATGAACCTGGAACATTTTACTGTACTTGAAAGTAAGAAAGTGTTCTAAGAATGATAGGGACATTTCAAAAGGACACAGAACCAACCTCAAGGGGTTCCTAATGGCCAAATTTGGGCTAATCCATGGATCAAAACAAATAAGGAGAGTAACTGATTATAACTCACTGAATAAAAGGGAATCCATGAATGAGTACATCTCAGATAGAAAGACAGATTGACAGATGGATGGATGGATGGGAGGGATAGACGGGATACAAGGAGAGAGAGAAGAAAGAAGAAGGAAGTAAATTTGTTGATGAGACATTTACATAGTCTTGAAGTAACTCTTAAAAAAATACTAATTATTTACAAGGGGGAAAAGAGTAACTTTATGGCAGAGATATCTGGCAGACACCATCTTAAACTAGTGATTGACATCAACTGTCATGGTATAAATCAAAACCATGCACCACCTGATAGGATGCAACAACAAGAACACTTCTCACAAAACAACACTTTTTTGATATTCCAAATTGAGAAACATTATACGAAATAATTGGCTTGCAATCTCCAAATATGTCAAAGTTATAAAAGCCAAGAAGAGACTAAGGAATTGTTCCAGGTTAAAGAAATAAGAAAACAAAATGTAATGTGATTCTGCGATGGATCAGTTTCATATAAAGGACAAGACTGGGCAACTGAATGAGTCTCAGGATTGAATGGCAGAAATATATCAACATTAACTTTCTGATCTTGATGGCTGTATTGTGGTTACATAGGAGAATGTACTGGATTGTAGGCAAAATATGCTCAAGTACTCAGGGTAATAAAGCATCCTGTTGGTATTTAAACTCAACTAGTTCCAGGGGAAAAAGCTACCTATTCTATTCATGGAGGAAAAAAAAAGGCCACAGTTCTTATCCAAGAGATTCCCAGTCAATTCCACGGACTCCTTGAATGTATTTACGTCAGTTATCTTAGACAAACTGTTATGGTCTATACCACAAAATTCACGGAGTAAGGCAACTGTAACAGGTCATACTGACTAGAAGCACAAGTTACTTACCAAAGTTAGGGATGTGAGAGAGAGAGAGAGAAAGAAAGAAGAGAACCTTACCATCTCTAACATGTCTTAGTGAGGCTAACTTTAATACTCTTAACACGTTTAGTGAATGTTATCTAGAATCAGCCCAGATTGTGGAATCCTTCATTCACAGCCCTATATTTTGGTCTGGGGTGTCGACTGTGCTGAGGTGGTAAAGGGATGAGAGTACTGATTATATCTCCTGACCCACAGGGTGCAGAGGCAGACAGCTCTCATTCCAGCATGGTGGAGTCTATGTGCTGAAGAGAACAGTTCCTACAGACCAACCAAACGCTCCAGTCTAAGCAGCAAAATCAAAAGACAACTGTCCATATCTCCTCTTCAAACAACTTGATTTTCGAACCAACAAATGCAGATTAAGAGGGAGGATGAAAAACATCTTCTTTTCACCTTTCCAAATTGCCTCTATATCTTCTTTTCCATATTAGATGGCACAGATTATGACTTTGGGGTCATAATCACTACTCATACAAATGCTAAAGATCCACACTCCTTTTTCTAAGGAAAACACTGATTCTATGGGTAGAAACCCACACCCATGGAACAATCAGGTTAGAGTGGAAGATTAGTTCTTAAATTTTCATAGCAGAACAAATAAATGTCTCATCAACTGTTCAGAAGCTCAGAATTTCAGACTGTGATAATTTTCTATTAGAGGGAATTAAGTCCAAATGAGCAAGCTAAGCAACAAAGAGGCAACCGAATGGATGCAGCGACTTCCCTTTCTCCTTGATTCTCAGAGTCTAGTCCACACAGAGTATGGAGTTGGATCAATATTCATCACACAATATGCTTGCCTCTTAGGAGTTTAACTATATGCTCTTGGTCTTTATGAAGCATCAATACAAGAACACTCCACCTGAATAATTTCTGTCTTCTGTGAAATCATAGCTGAAAACATAATCCACTATGTCACACAATGGCAGAACCCACAGAATGTCTTTTTCGTTGAGTACAATGCCAGGAAAAATTCTGTCTCTGTAAACAAACGGGCAGGTTTTCTTTCCACAGACGATGAATACTAAGTAATTCAATGCTATTCAGGACAAAGGAACGGTTCCTTGTTAGTTCTTGGCAGTGCGAAAACTTAGTCAAATGCAGTGAATAACAGTTAAATTGGCTCCCCTCAAGAGCCTGGTACCTTCTACTCTCTATGTTCTTCTTAGATGGCTTATTATGTTTTTATCTTTAATGTCCTGCTTTATACTATCTTCAATTCTATGAGCAGATTTAAGTCCTCTTAAAACTACCCAGAGTATGTATATACATATGCATATATTTTCTCTCTCTCTCAATTTTCCTTCTGATATCTCTTACATTTTCTGGTATCACTCTATATTTAATGATGTAAGAATTTAAAATGATACTGACCCCCCAGAGGCTAATTTAATAAAGACCAAGCAGTGTGCATCATTAACTCCCCTTCTCCTTTCCACCAACCAATTGAGGGTTGGCCGGCCCGTGGGGCAGGCAAGCACATCACCTTTGCAGTAGTCAGCGGGGTCCTCCTGCTCCTCATCGTCTGACCCCAGGATCTCCTCCTCTGGCTCTGGGGGCGTAGGGTCTGGCAGAGGTGGTGGCGGCGGCGGAGGCGGTGGTGGAGGAACTAAGGGAGCTTTCTGTTGAGGCTCCGGCCTGAAAAAGCAAAAGACAATTCCTATTTACTTACAAGTAAACCTTGTATTATGGACACACTTGAGAGTTTCTTAATATGGGAAAAAATAAAACTCGTCACACACTAAGAAGAAATGCTGATTAATGTCACTTCATCCATTTTAGCTGAATTCAAGTACTGTTTCAACATACAGGCCAAGAGGAAAAACCTACCCTAATTAGCCAAGGAATATTTCTGCAGGCGCATTTTTGCTCAGAGCTTCAATATTTCTTAAGCCCTGACAATATTATGAAATGTAAGTGAAACAAATGAGTATCCCCCCATGATATACAGCCTTATAAGTTAGAACACATCCCACAAAGATTATGAAAAGACAGACGAAAGCAGCCCTGAACTTATCAAGGGGCTTATTTTCTGTTATTTTAAAACCAGAATTCCTTTTCTCACAGAAATAGTAGGAACATGGTTAGGTTTCCCAGATAACTCATAAAAGCTAACTATATTGTAGCTGATGTACATTTATTTTCATTGAGGAATTCAGTTATCTACCAACCTTGCTTATCAAGAACACTGCCCAAAACTGAAAATTAAACAAAGAAAACACCCATTGTCAGTCAAATACATTGATGTACGGACTGTATTTGTAAGGTCTGCAATGGTCATTTCTAATTGTCACAAAAAGGCTAAATGATGCTTAATATACTCTTTTACAAAGGATAGGAAAATGAGTAATACAAAAAGAAAACCTTGAGAGCTTACAGATGTAACCTTCTTTCAGATATCTAGAATAACTCAAGGATATATTAAATACATTTGCTTAGAAGTAAAGCATTCATAATGCAATTCTATAAAATCAAGCTTTCACTTGCTATAAAACTTAACTGCTATTTCTAACCATGCCCCAAAGGGGAAACTTGAACGTAAAGTCTCAACTTGGACACCAGAAGCATGTCTCTCCCTTAAGCTGCAAGCTGCCCTGACAATGGGACCACCACCGCTCTCCCTGAGCTGACCACAGCTGTGTGGGTAAAAAGTGGGGAGGGAACAGACACGGCAGGGCAAGGGCAAGGCGGACAGGCTGATGGACACGTTCCCCAGAGGCAGCCTCAGCAGGGAGAGCAGGGGGCTCTGGTCTGGGGAGCAGGGGCATCCCACAGGCAGTGATGTGGTGGACAACCGCCATTTATTTGGCCTGATCAGGGTCCGTGCTCCCTTTCTAAAAGCACCTTTTAAGACACCACGACTCCCTGCACAATGGAGGGCTAGTTCCAGTTCCTCTCTTTCCTGGCTGTGGTACAGCCTAGAGCACAGAACCAAAGCTCACTCTCGAGCCCTGGAACCCTGAGAAGGTCAGCTGTCACAGGGCACAAGCTGACCTATGGCTGCTAGTAAGAGGCAGGGCCAGAGGAGCTCCCATGACCACTGCCCCTTTCTAAGCTGGACCTCTAAATTTTTGCCAAATGTAACAGCCCCCAAATAGCCTTTACTACACTGCCTTTAAGCCCAAGGTAGCTACAGCTCATTTATGTGGTTTGCCACCAAAAACACAAACTACCACAAGCAATGAAGTGGGGAGAGGTGGAAGGCAGCAGAAACACCAGCAGTCACGAGGAGGGGCTGGGACACGCCCCATGGGTAACCTCAGAGGCAAACACTGGCAAGTATGACTACCTCTGGCAGGACAACTGAAGAATGCTTATAAGCTGAAATGACCTGTATTGATTTCCACTTGCTAGAATCTATGAAGACTCAAAGTTACAGCTCCCTGGGTAACAGACATTAGGAACACGGTGGTGATTATGTTCTGAGTTGACCATTCCTCATGAAGGAGCCCTGAAAGGGAATAATCACAACCAAACACCCACACTGCTGCCAGAATACATCCCCAAATTCCAACAGACCTTATGGAAGTGCAATAATCCTTCTGGCAGCCTTGCCATTTTCTTTTTAACAGACACGCTCTTACTGAAAGTAGAACTGTCCCAGGCAAAAGAGAGGGCTGAAGAAGGGGAGGCAGGAGAGGAACGCAGCTTCACCACTTCCCTGGGAGGAGGAGTTAGTGAGACGCGGGCAAAGGCTTTCACGCTGCACTCTTCAGGGCTGTGGGCAGAACCGATCTACTTGACAAATCTGCTCAATCAGAAACACTCTGAAAGCTGACTGCTTCTTCCTTAGAAATTTTACATGAAAAAATGAGGAGATTCTCTAAATTTGAAAGAAAATACATTATATTCCCTGTAGAAACTATGTAACCATTAATGAAACGAGAAGAACTGGAGGATCTTGTTCTACTAGTGCAGGGCACTACTGTGCTCTGCAGGACTGACATTTGGGCCAGATAACTCATTGTTGTGGGGGCTGTTTGTACACTGCAGGCTGGCCTCTACCTACTGCATGCCAATAACACTCCCCTTACTCTCAGTTGTGACCATGAAAAATGTGTCCCAACACTAACCGATCTCCCGGGGGCAAAACCACGCCTACTGGAAAACCACTGCACTAGTGGTCTTTTCTATACCTAGCTTTACCTCGAAGGAGTTGACAGTATCTGAGATAAGGGAGAAGAGATTCTAATTCTCACGGGCCCATTTTCTCTCATTTGAGAGGCTCAGGTACTGTCATCCTAATGTTTGTCTCTCAATTATTCTTCACCCATTTGGTGAGCTGCCCACGTCGCTTCACAAAATTCTTAAGACTCTCTGGTCTCAGTGAGCAGGCACTTCCCATCCCTCCAGTGAGGGCCACACAAAACAGGCAGGCAGAAAGCTCCCCCAAAGGCAGTTCTATCAAGTTAAAGGATGAGGCAGGGTACCCTGAAGTACAGAGGAAGTTGAATAATGATGTACTGCAAATAGCTATCATATCAAAACATTTAGAACTGTGCTGAGCAATACAGTAGCCAATGGCCGGCCACGTGTGGGTACTGAGCACTCAATTTGAGACTAGCCCAAATTGAGATATGCTGTAAGTGCAAAATACATACTGGATTTCCAAGGTTTAGTTAAAAAAATGTAAAGTATTTTATTAATAATTTTATATTTATTACATGTTAAAATAATAATGTTTTGGATATAATGACATATATTATTAAAATTAAATTCACCTGGGGGCCGGCCCCGTGGCTTAGCAGTTAAGTACATGCACTCTGATACCGGCGGCCGGGATTTGGATCCCGGGCGCGTACCGACGCACCGCTTTTCTGGCCATGCTGAGGCAGCGTCCCACATACAGCAACTAGAAGGATGTGCAACTATGACATACAACTATCTACTGGGGCCTTGGGGAAAAAAAAAAAAAAGGAGGAAGATTGGCAATAGATGTTAGCTCAGAGGCAGTCTTCCTCAGCAAAAAGAGGAGGATTGGCATGGATATTAGTTCAGGGCTGATCTTCCTCACAAAAAGAAAAAAAAAAATTTAAATTCACCTGATTGTTGTTACTTTTTAAAATGTGGCTACCAGAACACTTTAAATTACAAATGAAGCCTACATTATATTTCTACTGGATAGCACTACTCTAGACCCTTCAGATTCACCGATACCAGAGGAGCAGCTTGGCCTCAAAATCAGAGATGGCTGCTCACCTGAGAGAATATTATTTTTTTCTAAGGCTTTTCCTAGTAATCTCCTTCACACAATTATCACTAACTCTCAAATCACTCAATTCATCATAGTAAGATCCAGTACAATGTAACTGCCAAATGTTACAGGCCAAATCACTGATTCTTTTCCATCCCCTCCACCCTTGTGACTGCCCACCACAGAGGAGAAACACAGGTGAACTTGTCTCAGGGCAGATGGATGGCAGAGAGAACGATGCCCCATTGTCCTGAAGGCTGGCTTCCACAAAGTGGTTTCTGCTGGTTTCCACAGTGCTTCAAAGCCTGGTTAAATCTCAATTGTTTAAAGGATCAAGGTGACACATTATCTCACCAAGTATATACTCCTGAAATATATCAACAGATTAAAAAAAAATACTTTCATCAATCCTAATGAAAACCATCAAGAAGTTATTTTATTTACGAATTACTAGGGCCGGCCCTGTGGCTTAGCGGTTAAGTGCGTGCGCTCCGCTAC